GGGCGGGTAAGAGGACTAAATAGGTGTTGATTATTAACTATAACTGCTCTGAATGGCGCGCTGACGTCCCGAGGGAACGCAGGAACAGGGGAGGGGGAGGGGAGAAAAGTGGTGCGTGGTGCGTGGTGCGCCGCAAACAGCGTTGGGCAGTCAACCGCGATCAAGTTCAGACTTCTGCCCGATCAATTAGTTGGCATGCGTACTGACGAGCAGCGTGGGGGGGGGGAGTACAAAAGGGGGCGATGACACGGCACGAGTTCCTCCGCCTCAATTAGCCCAATTTCACCTGGGAAGGGTCGGAGTGGAGCAGAAGTTCCGATCAGAAACGCCAAACTTACTTGCTGGCTGCTGAGGGTTCGGGCGAAAGGCCGTCAAGTCCCCCAGCAGGAGTGCACATGTTTCAACACTGCTCAACATCCACTGGAAGATTTGCACGTATGATAAACGATATGAATTTTGGGTAAGGATGTCTTATCTTTCATCATCATCATCATCATCATCATCATCATCATCATCATCATCATCATCATCATCATCATCATCATCATCATCATCATCATCATCATCATCATCATCATCATCATCATCATCATCATCATCATCATCATCATCATCATCATCATCATCATCATCATCACCACCATCATCATCATCATCATCATCATCATCATCATCATCATCGTCGTCGTCGTCGTCATCGTCGTCATCATCATCATCACCACCACCACCATCATCATCATCATCGTCGTCATCATCACCACCACCATAACCACCACCACCGCCGTCCTCGTCGTCGTCGTCGTCGTCGTCGTCATCATCACCATCATCCTCATCATCATCACCGTCATCACCATCAGACTTTCGGACATATTACGTGAGCGTATTGGCAAACCACGTTGATGAAGCGAGTTTCGTGGCGGAAAGTCGTATAACCCACTCCTACGCTACTAAAAGACCTGTATGTTCCTTGTAAGCCTTACAACCGGGGCTCGTCGCCAGTTTTCCTGACATTGTCTACCCTTCCAAACAAGATGGATGAGGGAAAACAGAGAGATAGAGAGAGGTTGGTGAATGCCGTTCAAGTCACCGGTGGTGTGTCAACTCGGACGTCGTCACTTGAGACGGTCGAATCGTCAAGTCTCGCAGCCTGCAATTACTTCGAGACTCGGCGTAGCGACTGATTGACAGTACCTTTGGGCATGAGCAAGGACAAACGTTTATATGACTTTATCAAGCAGCCAGAAGAATTCTCACCGCATGCTGTTGTTTTGTAGCATTCCTGGCTGTAGAGAAATCGATTAAAATATTTCAGCCAACAAGAAATTCTAGGTGCTGTTGAATTCATATTTCTTGTAGAGAAATTAAGTAACCCAGCTGTAATCGGAATACACTGTAGAATAACGAGGACTGATTTATAATTAAGGCACCGATGAGAACGATCGATCACAGCTAATATGCGACGTGATGTCCGGACGTCTTCATTTATCCCGTATTACTACTACTACTACTACTACTACTACTACTACTACTACTACTACTACTACTACTACTACTACTACTACTACTACTACTACTATTAGCACCACTACGGTTGTGGTGAGGGCCATTGCTAATGAGGGAAACATTGCAGTAAAACCACTAGCAGTTATGAAGCCGAGTTGCTTCGCTGGTAAACGAATCGTACTATAGACTGTTAGGGCTACGATAATGCTGGATAGATTTATTAAACAGTGGTCGATATGCCTGAAGATTGTTTAAATGGAGTTGCAACAGTTAGCATAAAACACGCACCTAAGGTCATTCCTGAATGATAGCAGACTGACTTTCCACTGTAGTCTCCCATCCTGTAGGCACTGTCTATAATTTTAAGGAATATTACATTCCTTTGACTGGCCAGATTATTATGAACTTCGAGGTTCCAAATAAGTATATACTTAACACATTCAAAAGAATGTCATTTTAGCCATGTTGTAACTCATGCAGGTATTATAGTTATATACAGTAGGTGGGCCAACTCACGAAATATCGACCGAAATTTCGAAATGAGTTTTCATTTTGAAAAGATTAATTGAATATGGTTGTAAAATTAATCACCGTCCAGCATAATTCTATAATGATCCAGTTACCTCGAGGTGTCTTCTTTTGAATTTATTTATTTCCGACTGCACGCAGGAACTATACTCTGCGAAAATGGCTACTTAAGTAGCATGCAATTTTCCCATTGATTTTCGATGTCCATAAAAGTTCAATTTTATTTCCCGGAAAAAATACGTAAAAATAATTATTATTTTCTTTGGTCGATATAAAAGTGCGTCTTCTTTCAGTTTTATACTCGAAGGAAGGGCATACTTCGGTTTTAGAAAAGTTTCTCAGTATGAGATATTTAAGACCGTGAAATGGTCGTTCATAAAACGTCATGTCTCTGCATTTGCCAATGTGGCTTGGAAAGTTAACAATATGGCCCAAATCCAAAGCTAAATTTTATGAACCCCATATGGTTTCCTCTTCATACTGTAGAGCAATGTATGGTTTTCCGTACGCGAAAAGTATGCGGCTTGTAGTTTGGAAACCCTGAATGCCAGTGTCGGGGTTCACAATTACCCGCAAATTGGAGAAGTTTTTTAAAACCGGGACTGACCGTCTGCGTGGTCATCCCTTCAAAATGTAGAGGAAGCGGGCTCATTCGGACGTCCGACGGAACGCCTTCTCCCACAGGGCCATTGGGGCATGGAACGGACTCCCTGATGCCGTCGTTCCGAAAGTGTCAAATCCTTTAAGTGCAGTCTAGATACTCATTTTTTGAGAAACTACTGTACATATAATAATGACTGTTTTAGCGGCGGCAGTTTGCGCCTGGCTCACACTTACCGCTAACTTTTTAACTTTTTGCTTTTGCTGATGTAATTGATGACTTTATTTCCGTTTATCGATATGAATAGGGAGCTCAAGGGCGAAAGCCTCATCCCCTTAATAAACTCACTTACGCCCTTCTTTCGAGTATAAAATTGAAAAAAGACGGAATTTTACACGGAACAAAGAAAAGAATAATTATTTCTATGCATTTTTTATGAAATATAATTGGACTTTTAAGGGCATCGGAAATCAATAAGAAAATTGCATGCTACTTAAGAAGCCATTTTTCGCAGAGTATAGTTCCTGCGTGTAGTCGGAAATAAATTCATTCGAAAGAAAACACCCCGTGGTAACTGGATCATTACAGAACTATGCCGGATGATGATTATTTTTACAACCCTACTTAATTAATCTTTTCGAAACGAGAACGCCTTTCGAAATTCCGGTTGAAATTTCATGAGTTAGCCCACCTACTGTAGGTTGAGAACAAGTTATAATCGTCTATATTCAGACACAAGCACTTCGATATCTGCAAATGCTTAAGACGTGCTGGCTGCATTATTGTAGAATCCAACGCTCACGAATGAATACGAGGATAGTACTAGGGAGCGGCGTGGCCCTTATTAACATACGCGGAATCAATCATGGATCATGGGTGAGGGGGGTGGGAACGATCTTGGATCGGTGGACGTTGCAGCCCACTATAAAACCGGGAGACGCAAAAATGTCTAAATTCTACTGAAGACATGTTAAAAAAAGTCTGAAGGATACCACCCTGAGATGCAGATTACTGTCAACTAACACCCTTCCGCATATTCTTGTTGTCCGATTACTCCAAACCCATTGTTTCGATTACACGGCGGGCAAAAAGACTCGGAGATCATCGAGACCGTGTGCCGAACATCGTTTGAAATTACAAGGCAGCAACAATAGACTTGGCTTCCATGAGACGTTATGGTTACTTCAGCCGTCAGTGTTGCGAATCCGGAGGCGGTGGCGTAGGACAGCGTACGCCAGGGGGGGGGAGATTTATGGGCAAATTAATTCGTTCTGACCAGGGAATGACCTGACTTGCCCAATGCTGGGGCTGTTATCCTAGCAACTGTGGAATTGCAGGAATAACCCTAGCAAGAATATGGATGACGCTGTGCGACAGCAGGTCACTGCGTTTTTGTTTGTATTTCCGTTTCCATGAGTGAATCATTAAAAGAGCGATTAAAGCATGGGACAGATGACACCGGGTTGTTCGCCCAATATTCATCGAATTTCGCTCATGGTATCCAATACCCAAGGTTGGAATAATCTGCTTATTTGCCTAATTACCTCTACTTATGATAAAATAGGATGTTTCAATCTCAAAAACACAGGGGAGCTGCTCGTCGCCTCGCACGATAGAAGAACCGGCCTTTGTGTCTGCTTTATTCCACGGCCTTTGAACTTTGTTTCTCCACCCAGTGTGATTCTATCCTTCCCCGCTCTTGGGGCCTCACCTCAATTGCTCCTCTTCTATGATACGGTGAAATCTCTAATTAAATGCTTTTGAGCTGCACTGCGCACTCACCTCATTACGTAAATGCGTTACATAGTTCAAAGCAAGTGGGACGGACGCGGTAAGCTAAGGATTTGTTCTTCTCGGCGATGTGAGAGAAGGGGTCAAATACCTAGTCGAGTTTTCAAAGTATTGTCTTGATTGATGAAAATGTGCGCGACATTCCTGCGCTATGAGCGCACTCACGCACGCGCTAACATCGCGTGTCATGTGGCAGGGTTAAGTCAGGCGAACGGGCAGATCAGGGATAAAGTGAGAGGCTCAATTCATTCTCAACACTGATTGGTCGTTTCACACTCCCCTCTCCCCCCCCTCGCGATTCGAAGGCGGGACAAAAGGAGATGAAAAGGCAGGGCAAGGGGGCGGCGGTCGCAAATGGTTACTTTTGCTGGCTGGCGCTCAAGTAGGGAGGAAACGCGCAAGGGAATGAAGCACCCAAGTCAGATAAAATCTGATCGACAAGATCTTCCCCGAGGCAACTGCAATTAAAGCAAAGTGCCTGGGACGTAATCGGAGAAGACAGGGGAGGTCACGTTAGTTGAAGCGGATTCAGTTGAATTCGGAAAGGTCCTGAATTTGGAGAACAAAATCAAACTATGTGAAAGGCCAACACACTTCCATTCACAAGTGAAAATAGTACTGGTTAATTTATGTGAATTAAAAATTCCACAAGAAAAGTCTCCCAGTTCGCACAGCTCCAAATTATGGTTCTTTCCAAACCAACTTATGAAGAGAAGAATAAGCATTCATTTTCAGGCAGGGTGCGGAAACACAAACAAGACAAAAGCACTAAATTAAGCAGAATTTACTGGTTCTATCAAACTTCAAGATCTGATGTTCACTCCCACGCTGCTGTTGCGTAATTGTAATGCGCATACCAGCTTTTCCGACATAAAGAGCGACAGTACCTGACTTAAAATTTTTGACCGAACTGACGTGACAAGAAGTGCTGAAGATCATAACCGCACCGCAACAGTGAAACGATTGTCTGGGTAAAATGTTGACATTCTTTTTGTCGAATGTTGGAAAAGTAAGTATGAAACTGGAATGTTACCTGAGAGTAGTGTTCACCATCTATTCCGAGTGAAGGGCAGAAATTAGGAGTTAAATGTGTCCACGTACCTCTGGACCTGACACTCGCAGGCCTTGTTGACTACCAATAAACAAGAAACGTTGCCTACAAAAAGACATTATGTCAGAATTCCTTGTCTTCGTTGATAAAAATATTAGACAAGGTTGTATTATGCTCTGCTGGAAAGCATATAGAGGTTGGTTATGATGCTTCATCCGAGTACATCTGAATGCACTACCGACAAAGACGAGGGGAACTGGGGTGGCCATTTTTGGCATCTTGGCCGTCGTCAGCCAGCCATACCTCTACCAAAGCAAATGTACTTAAGAAACCAATCAAAGAAAATCTAGCCGCTGGCCATTCAAGTGGAGGAAAGTAAAGTATCATGTGGGATTTCTTGGGAAGAAGCACAAACACTCTCATCTACCGGAAAACGGCAATTTCACATCCGGGACATTCAGTGAGGCAACAGTAACCATGCGAACATTGAACTTCAATAGCCATCATCATATCGGAGGCAGATTCAATTTCAGATCGCACGAGCAGCACCTGACCACCCTGAACCTCTAGCACATCCACAATAGAAAAGACAGAGGTGACGATCAGATGTGGTTCGGTAGCCACACCTGAAGTAAACAAACCCCAGCCACTTGTAATACGGAATCGGTGACAGAAGGGGTTTTTACAGCTGGAGCCGGAGAACGCACAGGCGACGAGTTCAAGTAGTTGTATGCAACAGAAAGCTATTGAGAATGCGCGGTTTTACCTTGAGTGGTTGAGAAATGGTTGTCCCGACCCCTGACCCTAACCTCCAACCCTAAACCCAAAGCCCAACCCCAACACTAACCCCCAACCATAACCCATAACACTAACCCCTAACTTCAACCCCAACAGTATTGTGTCCATCAGGTGGAGCTACATAACCACATCTTACCGAGGTTACTTTGTAGAAAGTTTTCACGGATGGAGGCGAATATGCCCTTCCAAGGTTCCAGATGGAGCAGAAGATAAATACGCGATCATTAAGACGGTAGGTTTATTCATCCGAGCTTTTGAACTCTACACCAGAGACAGCGTGAATGCAATGGCGACTGACTATTTTTGTAGTCCACCACGGAGGGGAAGGGTGGAGTGGTATTGCCTGTGACTTTGTCGGCTTCGCACCGCCTGGTTCACAGTGGTCTCGTAGCCTGGTGACAGCGTGTATCTTTGGTGGGTATGTGAGCAGGGCCAGGTATGCTGCGTGGACATAGGGCATGATAACACGGGATCTACACAATGTGCCTGTTGATAGAGTTGGTGTCTGACACCCAAGCTTCCAACAGTTTTCGCTCCGTCTTGATGCCGGCTCGCGCCACTATCGGTTTCCACTCAACGTCGAACTCATGGCCTTCCTCCAGCGTGCGAGGGGCGACTTGTGACAGTAGGTCGCCTCTCTGAACGGCCGTTTGTGTTTGAGTATTCGTGAGCCAAGACGACGTCCCGTTTGGCCTGTATAATTTTAAGCACAGTCCTGGCACAGGATTTGGCAAATTATGCTCGAATGCTCATCTGCATCGAGTGGGTAATTTATCAGCATGAGCCTGGTGCGCGTGGTAGCTGCCGGACGATGGGCAGTGCCTGCGACTAACTCTGTTTCAATGCATTCCATGATCCCCGACACATTCTTTATGTACGGCAGCGAGTGTCAAATTAGTGGTTTCTCTCCCGTTTGTCCGTTATGAGAGCGCACGCACGCAGCCGCTAACGAGGTTCTTCGCGTGGCCGTTCCCTGCCAATCGGTCCCTGCGGGTTCGCTACAGTGCGTTTTTGCCCCATTAAAGAGTGATCTAACATGACATGTTTGTAAACCATCGGGTGGTTGCTGTGATAGCTGAGGACGTGATTTGTGTTAGTCGCTTTTCCATACACTGTGGTGTCAAGTTCACTACCGGGTCTGCGCGTGGTGAACACGACAAGGAATGGTAATGGTTCGGTCTTCTTTCCTTCTCTGGTAGACTGGAGGTCAGTGTAGCTGCTGTTAAGCAGGTCTTGAAAGCCCGACAACCCGTCTCTCTCAATTATGACGAATGCGTCGCCCACGTACCGCCGCCAACACGCAGGTTCGTAGTGATTGAAAGCGCCCTTTTTCAGCACTTGCACGACCAATTCCTTATATAAGCTGCATTTAAATAAACCTACCAGTGTTTCTTCGATTTGTCCGTATGTTCTGCCATTGGAGATGAAAAAGGTTTGTTGGCAGAGTGTTAAAAATTCATTAGATACTCCACTTCTATAAGCCCAGTCGTCTTGGCGTACTTCCCTGCAAGTCGTTTGCTAACACTCCAAGTCTGGTGGGATAAATGTGAATAATGAGACAACGTCGAAGGATTTCATGCTTTGGTCAGGTCGGACGGATTTTCCCCAAATGTTGGCGAAGACGTGGGAGGCCGATCAGGGGGAATTTCCATAGCTGAATTTTCGGGTCATCCATCTAGCTAAATTGTATGTGCGGCCACCTTTTAGCTCGACGCTAGACCGTAGAGGAGCGTTGGGTTGGTGAATTTTGAGTAGTCCGTAAAACTTGGTCAGTACCATATCAGTTGGTTTTGCCTGTCGCTATTCCTCAAGCGAGATTGCATTATTGTTCTTGAGTCGGCCTAGGAGTCCGATTAGCTGGCCGATCACTGATTTAACTCCCGAAAAATGTGTAGATATGTAGGACTGTTGGTCGTCGATGACCCCACTGTCGTAGATCCTGTCTTCGCACCTTATATTGAGTATTCTCTGAAGGCAGCTGAGGTGGAAGTGATTGGGTTTTCTTCTTGGCCCGAGTAGGCCTTCCAGGTCACCGTGGTTAAGACCACAGCCTTGTGAATCTTGAGTTTTGTGTTGAGGCGAATGTCGCTCCGATTGCAAACTATGTTCTACATCCGACGCAATCTCTGGCTCGCTTAGCAGATCCTGCGGGCAACTAAGTCATCGATCTTGACACTCCCTGTAACTTTAATCCGCAAAAAACGCGAATTTGTCCACTATAATGTTTTGGGTTCCAGTTGCGCGGTTAAGCGTAACCCGAGTCTGGGACCATTGGTGCACGAATACCGTCTTCTCTGTGTTGATGTTCACTCCGAACTTGGCACAGCCGGAGGCAAAGTGAATCACGCTCTCATGCACGTCTGCTTCTGTTGTTATGTTTAATGTGCAGTTATTTTTGATCAGTCGACCTTGAATGCTGATATCATACACTCATCAGCATGTGCGCATGCATTGAACGTTGAACAGTTCCTTGTCGATTTGGTAGTTCGAGTCGATTCTCGACCGCACTTCATACTAGACTTATATCAGCAAAGAGGAGAATTTGAAGGTGAATAGGATAGGAGAAAATATACAGCCCAAAATCCCTTACTGGTCATCGCAAGTGCTCCAGAAATTTTCTCATCCATCCCGCGCGTCACCATCCCGTTCTGAAGTCTGTTTATTCTCTGAGTAAATCACTCAGGGAGTTCGGATTTCAATTAGATTCTCCAGCATCCACCGCAACCCACCGTATCAAAAATCTTTGTCAAATCGACTAAAGGGGAGTCGAGGTTAATCCTCATTTCCTGTGCCTTCCCCTGCAGTTGGCAGGTCGTGAAGATTACGCCAAAGGTTCTGTGGCTTCTATGGAATTTTTGCTTACTTTTTGGAAGGCATCCTTGCTCCAAGTGCGTTTTGGCGCATTTTAGGAAAACTCGGGCGAAGATTTTTCTTGCAGTATTTGGACGGCAGATGCCTCACCAGGTGTCCGAGAGTCCAGGGTTCCCCTTGCGTTTATAAATGTACATACTGGTGACATTTGAAGTTTGGTAATGCATGTGTTATTGTCGGCACATCTGGAAAAACAAAATAAGCCTGCTTTTCAGCCGATGACCGCCGTATTTCGGGACCTCGGACAAGATTGCTTAGGTCCCCGGTTTCTTTCCATTGGAGAGTTCCTGTACCGTCTTGATCGTTTTTGGGCGGGAATATGAAAGGTCCAGGTCACTGTTTGTTTCCACTTGGGTCAGCATGTTGCTGGTTTCATCGGAGAATGTGAACAACCAATTGAGGCTAGGCCCATCGCTTCAAAATCGGCTGTTTTTCTGTGAGGCATTTTGTACTGTCTAAATAAGCTGCGGTACGATTCCCTTTGTAAAAAACCCTAAATCGTCCTAAATGATGTGAACAAATTCTTCAAGCCCTCACGTTCACGTATCTTTGCATCTCGTCAGTTTTGCTTTCCATTTAGGACGTTTGCGTCAGCAACTGACATTGCGAGAAGGCAAATCTCTTGACGTTGGTCCTGTCATTAATGAAGGTTGTGCGGACTCTGTTAAAGATTTAATCGTCGTTATTTTCGAACCGTTCCTGTTGTTTGCAGTATGCTTGACCGTGGACGTGCAGGACAATGAACTGGATGCTTTTTAGTGGTATGCATAAATGCATGTTTGCAGTAGCGTCCTCTACTGGAGCCCACAGTGCCCAAGGGGCGCTATAATAAGCCTATTCTATTCTATTTAAGCGGCGACTTAGAACATTAATGAAATCTAAGCGACAGTCAATCAAACCCAATGCAACAGTATTTAACTCACATGGCGTAAGCCAACCTTGTGGCCGTCTGCTCAGTTGCAATTAGAGTCTCATATAATAGATGACGAAGCGGCGGTTCGCTCAACAGTCCGCGACGTAGATGACCTTTATCAGTCAAGCGGCTTGGCAGTCTCGCCTTGGACGAGGACCTAAGTTATCAGCTTCCAGTGCCACGTGCGCGGATGCATTCACGTTGTCGTCGGAAGATGGTCTCGGTCAGGAGGAGGTAGTGTTCTGCACAGGTCTGTAGGAGGAGAACAGCGCCGATTCCGGGTGGATCCAGAACTCCCTCACAGTCGCCCTTTCCGTGAAGAGAAGGGCACTGAAGTCACCAAGGCCAATTGACTTACCCAGTTTCGATTCTGCCGCTGGAATTTCCTGAAGATTTTTTTTATAGAAGTTCTTCTTAACCCCATAGAGGATGGTCATTAAGAAGGGAGGGGGGGGGGAGCGTAGACGTTATAAATGGTTGTAAATTTATTTTCTCGAAGGGGCAGGCGGAGATTTACGAGGCGGTCTTTTGTGTCCTGCGGCAGACAGACATTCGGCCTACGATGTCCTTTTCTGTGGCGAAAGCTACGCCAGTATTACGTCGCGTTTGCACCACCGTATGAGATAAAATATAGCTGGAATCCATAGAATAATAATTTTTTATTAAAGACCCGTGGGCGTTCGGTCATAGCAAGCAAGACTAGACTTTTGCATGGATTTTGGAGCAGGTAGACAGAATCTATACGAGGCCTAATTCACAGATATGGAATAAGTAGTCTGGTACGAAGAATGATGGGCGAGCAGTGAAAAAACTTCATTGTCGATTAAACAAAATGAATATGACTGGATGAACATTATAGGAGAAAAAAACTGTCGCTCATGAAAGGATAAAATGCAGGCAGGACCAGCCTGCATGTGGTCATGTATAGCGGATTTCATAATAATAATAATAATAATAATAATAATAATTTATTTAATGCCAGTTTACAGACATTGTCAAGGGAAACGATTAAACACAAATCCGACCAGCAGTGAAAAAAACTCCTGAGGTAAAGGAATAAAAATATGGTTGATGGTGGTTTTTATGGTTTGGAGGGTTCAGAAGAAAAAACTGCTGGTGGTAGACTTCCGACAGTCAAGAAGGGGGGGGGGCGGTTGCACGGTATAGGAGATTATCGGACGTCAATTTTTTTCATGAAGTTGGGGATAGTCAAAGTAGAGGCGTTGAGGAACAGCTGGTGAGACCGGCCATAGTGTTCAGAGACCACAAACGCCATCGCTACGGTACAGTCGATCGGTGGATCCAGTACCCAAAATTTGTGGGAGCTTTTCTGAATGCAAAAATCGATTAATAGTTCTCTTAAATAAAGGATAATTTTGCAGAGTTTTCACACTCACGGGTAGTTTATTCCAAATAGCAATTGCATTTACAGAATATAACCGACGATATTTAACAGCACGTGCCAGAGGCAGAAATAAGAAGACCTCACGGTGACTGTTACGTCGTGGGGAAATATGATGTCTTAAAGAAGTGAGTGGGTTAAATGTGTGATTATATAAGAGTTTAAATAGCAAAAATAGTCCCTTTTGTAATCTACGGAGCCATAAAGGATCAAGGCCCGTAAGCCGGCAACGTTCTAGGTAAGACAAATGTCGGTGTTCCGGGGTTACAATTCTCTTGGTAAAAAAGTGTTGAACGGATTCTATTTTCTTCCGCTCAATAGCACGCATGAGGCTAAATAAAAACGAACCGTATTCCAGGCCAGGCCTAACGTACATGTTGTAAAGGCGCATTCTAATGTCTCTAGTTTTGAAGTTTCGGAGGATAAACCCGGTCGTTCTACGTGCTTTGGAGACTATCAAGGCACAGTGCTCCGAGAGATTGAGACTCTTGGAGTATGATACGCCCAGATTCTTAATAACCCCAGGCACATTTATGGCGTGACCATAAATGCTTAGTTGAGGTTGGCGGTCGTCGTCAACCACCATGACTGAGCACTTATGCCAAGAACGAGAAAGGCGCCATTTGCGGCACCATTGGGCGAAAGCCTGTAGATCGCTCTTTAGGAGCTTAAGCACGATGTCATGATCTGCCGGTTTATATCGATATGCAACTTTAAGATCATCGACATACATGAAAGGCTTACCATTCTGAAATAAATCGGGTACATCATTAACAAAAAGGAAAAACGAAAGCGGGCCGAGTACACTACCCTGAATGACTCCACTCCTCGCACGTGTGGGGTTGGAGATGTTATTGGAAATCTTAACTCGTTGTGTACTAATGCCCAGGTAGGAGGATATAAAATTCAAAAGTTTGGCAGCCATTCCGAAAGAGGACAGTTTCAAGAGAAGATGAGCATGGTCAACATGGTCAAAAGCCTTAGTGAAATCGAAATATACTGTGTAAAGTGCAAAACCATTGTCCCTAGATTGGAGAACATAGTCAAAGAAAGAGAGTTGGCAGGTGTCCCAAGACCGAGCTTTGAGGAATCCATGCGGAGCAGCACTCAGTAAGTTATTTCCTGTTAAGTGACACATCATCTTATCTTTGATCAATGTCTCTAAGATCTTCGAAACTGCGGGGAGGGTGTTTATTGGCCGAAAGTCATCAAATGATGTAGATTTGCCGTGCTTAGGAATGGGCACAATGTGTGATTCCTTCCACGAGGTAGGATAAGTTTCACTAGCAAGAGCGAGATTAAATATCTTGCATAAGAGGGATGGGAAAATCGTATTTGCATCGGCTTTTAAAATGCTTACTGGGACACCATCAGTGCCTGGACTATAAGATTGACGAAAACGCCAAAACGCAACAGTCACAGTCTTCAATAAACGTTTCGGACAGGAAATCATTGAAACTATCCGCGGTTAACTGGGCATCAACTATGGGATTTCCGAGAGCGTCTCAGAGGATGGGATGCTGCATCTTTCTATGAGTGCGTATTTTTCTAGAGAAAATTTTCGAGACATTTAACGAATGGTTTTCGGTAAACTGGACCTCTTCAGCTAGCTGTTTTTCTCATGAAGAGGTAATTACGCGGGTCGGACAGGACTGGCCTGCATGCAGTATTGAGTAAAAGTTTCCAGACGGATATCACCAAGGCATGCTTCATATGCCGGATGAGGCCATTCACGTCAACGTGGCGAGACAGGAAGAACCCAGACGTGATCGGTCACAGTCCGCTTAGAGTCCAGCAGAGAAGGGGGCAAGGGAGATGCGACTAAACTATTAGTAGATGACGAATACAAAGGGTTCCGCCAAGAACGTCGATAGACCGCTTGGGTCGAAATGAGGAGATGACTTAAAGAACTGCAGAACTCAACGATAGATAGGGTGAGAGGTCGAAATCGCGGGGGGCGGAGTGGAATTTTGAGGAGTGTCGGTGGTCGGCGAAACTGAAGCGGCTTAGTGCGTGCACTTTAGCCTAGTCAAGATATATCTTCGAAATAATTTGTCAGGACGTATATCGCATTCTGTGAGGGGCACGCTGCATAAGCTGAGAAATCGAAATAATTGACATTTCTTATGAGGGGTTCCATGCAAAGAATCGGGTCTCACTGAGAGATGCGATGGGAAACCTGTAGCACGCCATTACTCAAGCTACCACTATGATCGACTATTCCATTCAGTCGCTTAGCAGATTGTCAAAATTAAAATAAGAATTCAAGCTGAATAGATTCACTCGGACAACCTGAGGTGCGAGACATGGAATAAGTGTAGGCCCGGCCGTTTTTTGTCCTGCTTCGACCACGTCTTTTGCGTTGATGCGTCATGGCCAGATTGTGAATGACTTGGTTTCTCGATGTTTGTCAAGAACATATTTTCTAGCCCATTCGTCGCGAAGCGGTTAGCCACGCTGCCTACAAATAGGACTGCTTAGGCATCCAAGGCGGCAGCCAAGTTCCACAATGTGTCAAGACTTCTGTTTAGTGGAGCGTCGACCCCAAAAAGTCTGGGTTGTCCACCGGACCACTTTCTCTCACTTCATAACGTGGGCGGCCAGCGTTGGCGTATTCAACCTTATGATTCGGACATGAGTACGCGAGAGCGCTCTACTGAACGCTGTCGCTTGTGCGCGCAGAACCCAAAAAACCCATGCGGTCAAAATGAACGGAGACAGTCTTTGTAGATAAACTGGGATAATGGCACTGCTTTAATTCCGAGCAGCCGCGTTGCGACATGTTTGCATGCATACGACTAGGTCAAAAATATGACAAACGGTAATCAAGGCGAGCGTCAGGCTGATGGCGAGATCCAACTGAGGGTTTGCAGTGGCGAGGGTAGAAGTTTAATTTGCAGAAAACAGCACATTACGTGAACATACGTCTAGAATCCCACGCAGCCCACATCAGAGCCTTAGAGATATGCCAGAGCGTGGCATCCAGTCTAACGAAAATTATCAACCCTCCCTTTTTTCCGTTGAATTTCTAAGCAGTACAACTAAATCCCCACTTGCATATGCGCCGCAGATCTACACATGATCAGCTCCTTTGGAGTAGAGCCTCCAACTGTGGAGAGGTTTCATTAGTGCTCAGAGACTGCAGAGTCTTGTTATTGTCCCTAAAAAAGACAATATTATTCTCATTACTGAAAGACATATTTCTGCAGATCCGGTTTAGAAGAACTCAACTATTTGCCACACATAGCCAGACAACCAGCAACTCTCGGGTTCATACGGGTAGTAAGCAGGCAATTCATGTTATACGGCAGGTTATTAGAAAAAGGCACAGAAAACCGCGGATGAAACAATAACAAACAGCCGGCAAATCGCGAGAAAATACTTGCATTATCCGAGAGAAATGTAGTGGGAAGGATAAATATCGCGTTCAGGGAAAATGTTATACAACGATAGGGCTAAAAAGCAACAGTTTAGACCGTAAACAGCGAAAGAATGCTGATCGTGTTGGGTGTTTTCCGAAACTTATAAGTTCCGGACGATTTGGTTGATTCTGTGTTCCACACAAATTTGGACAGTTCGTTGATTAAATCCAAAACAGATAGTTCTGATCAGTTTAATAGTTCAGACGGATCTAGGCATTTTTTAAAGGTCAGATCCCTTTTAAATGTATTATTAGCTATGCGCGTTCCTGACTTGTCTTTTTTCAAGCAATTTCATAGTTTTGGTTTTAAACTTTGATTTCAGTGTTTAAACGCACTACAAAAGCCCCGGATCCTTCGATTGCGTCTTTGTCTTAGCTTGTGCAGGGTACTTAAGTCATTTGGTGCGACTGACTACCTTTTCATGGCTAGTTTAAATTTAGAGCCTCAAGAAGTCAAAGGCATATGTCTGAATATGTAGTGTAGCCCAGAACAACCCGCGTCAACTTTTATTCTTATACTTCAACGATTTCCCGCAGGCTAATTCGTCTTGTCAGTCGTATTTTTCATCGGGTGGTACCGTCCTTGCGCGCGGACACATGACTTTAGAGTGATTTTAATATTCATGATCACCATATAGTTGTCATAAATACACCTGAATACTCAAATAATTTCTTGTCGAACGAAATGTAAATAGTCCTGCGGACTACACTGACCAGTTTACTGGATAGTAGGATTATGCATGAATCGGTAGGAGTTTCTCGCACAAGACATCTGAGTAATTAGATTACTACATTTCACTTTAGGGGACGCCGTGATTTTGCGCTTACGGTTGGTTAAAATGCCTACATGTACTGACAGACAGGGAGTTGAATTAGTATTGCGTCTCTAACGGAGCTTTTTATAAAGATCTGTTATATATTATCGTCTGCTTTGAATGAAAATTCCTAGGGCACCCTCTGTCCTACGTGATCGGGGGACTTAAATGTTCGGCACTAATTGTGGATGAGTGGAAGGTTTAACGAGCGAGAATAAAGGTAGTAGGTTTTTGAAGGTCGCGGATAACCAACGTGTCCTTACCGTGACTGATTAGACTTTACAGCTACCTCAAAGGACGGGTCGCAACCGATACAACACTACAAAGTCATCAGCACTGTATTCCGACCCGGCTCACTGTCGATAGTAATGATTTTTGGCGATGTTGAGTCTCTTAGAAGCGCCCCATTACTCAGTGACCTGTTTTTTTCATTGCAGTCCCCGTAAGGTTGTTTCCTTTGGGGCTACACTTCTGTCGCTCGTCGCAAAAATCGCAGGATTTAGCTTGCCTGTGGACACATTCTCGGCTGTCTTATTAAATGCATGTGTTGCGATGTCACCCGTGTCACGTTTCTATGTGTATGAGAGGCCGGGCTTATTCCCTGCTACGGATGAGATTCTCTGAGGAAAATCAAAGATTCTTGAATTGCTTACTATGGGCCCAATTAACCCCTCAGAAGACCTGTACTTTCCTGTGTCGTCTATTACGCTATTCATCGCTTCTGTAGTGCCCCTTCCTTGTCCTTCCAATAAACAAACTATCACAACACTCCCGACTACTTGTTTATCTCCGTTCTGTTTGTCTTATCTGGTTTTATGAAAGATTGGTCTTAACTGGTTACGTTCAGAGCCGGACTCCAGAGTACGACTTCCTAAAGTAGAAATCAGGGTATCTATCGGAGGACGTTGCTCCGTGTTTTCAAAACTCTCAGACGGCCTTCATTGTTGCGGCTAAAAGATGTTTGCGCGCGCTCTTCGTGCCGAAACAAGAAGTCGTGCGAAAGACGACATCAAGCGTGTTCACAATTCGACAGAAAAGGTCACCAAATGGTACGTTCGGGCTCAACAGACATTATGTTTCATCTATTTCTACACATTTTGTTCATTCCACCACAACAGTCTCCTGTAATTAATTTCTACCATCATTTCAGTTACGAAATACGAGACAAAGTGATCACGTCATGTTTGTATATTGCCTCTGGATTGACTTTCGTGGCCACTTTATTCTTTATTTTGGGTATCCCATAGGCAATTGCTTCGTATGTAATCCTCATTTGCCACTCAGACATCTAAACCTTGTACCCCACTCTTGGCCCATAGGGGCTTTCTATCTGTGACACTTACTACCGCCAGTGTGTTTTCTACCCCGATTTTAAACTTGCTTTCCAACGTGCTAGTCAGTTCCTCCACTCTCGTAGTCCTTAGTTAAAGATGCTTCTTCCCTTCGGAAGTGCAAATCTACTATCTATTCGCCTACCCTTTTTGGCTCGTGGAGCAGTGTACTTCTTCAGCAGCTGCATATTTGTTGGTGTCGGAGACCAAGAAAGATATTAGCCTTGTATTCTCGAGTCCACTTTGTTAATCCATGTCTTGCCTGTTGTCAGTAACCAACAGCACTCATTGAAAATTACTTCTGCTTGTTTGCTTAATGCCGTCACCCTCAGCTAAATTTTATATGCAGGACTTCGAAGCACCGCTAAAATAATGCTTTCCAAAAACACAATACATTTAGCGAAGGAATGCTCTACTGAGTGTATTTTCCCGTTTTTTTTGAGTTACACCTGCAGATTATAGTAAATATGTAGGATACTAAACATCTGAGCACGTGCTTCAGTCCTCGTTATGTGCAGGCCATCAATTGCCCTTGTCTTTCTATACATTTTTCGGCACCTACTTCTCGACGCCTTTTTACCAAATACCTCATTCAAGGTTGCTAGTGCTCCCTAAAGAAACCTTGCAACACGGGGTAGTCCGACAATTGCAAGCAATGGAGTTCACGACGGCTCCACAAGCTGAGTGCAGTCGGAACTTTCGCATGAGTTTATTTATAGCGAAGCTAACTTGCGCTACCTCACACGCAATTCCAACGCCTATCTTGTTGCGATGGCAAGACAGTCTCCTGCGACTGAAGATAGACGTCGGCTCAATGGCTTCGAAAGCTGGACGGCTCGTATACACTTGGAGCGCACGACCTAGTTCCTAACTCCGTGTGTACCGGGCGTCGTTCAAGGGAAGTCTCAAATCTCGTTGAAATGGGAGCGTCATAAGGTTCATATTAAGAGGGGTCCGGAGGAGAACCGAGTTACTGACTCCACACAAGCGCTGATTCCTCTCTCCCCACACGGCCAGACTTCGTACGATATTTGGATCGTCATGCAACGCCGGCAGATTGTATCGAGTGATTGTTGCATGAGCGCTGTATGTTGTTTTGCTGGTCATTGGCATATTTACGCGTTCATTTGGTTAAACCATACATTGTTGAAGTGTGTTTATGCGTGCGCATGGAGTGAGACGACGAGGGAGAGACCTGGAACCTGCTGTTTTATTTGTAACTATCATGTATGTGTATATGGCGATGTCTGAATATCTTCGGACAGCGTCGGCAGATAAGGCGGACATGACGGCTGTTGGTTGGGACTTTTAGCTTTCAGTCCCGCGTTGCACTACGATGGATTCGTCAATGGCCGACCAGACCAGTGTTTAACTCGAATGTGAGATTGTTAACTGTACATGGCCAGTGACGAGTGGCAACTTCTTTCCAAGGCTTCGGTGATCGGGATTCTCTCCTCTCACTTCGCCTTTGTTCTTTGCAGAGGTAACTTGAAGGGGAGTGGGTTATATTCCCTTGCCTGACGTTAGTACACAGTCCACGGCCCTGTGCATTCTAAGTTTTAGGTTCTAGAGGGTGCCAAATGCCATGCCGTCTTCTGAGCTCCGTTTCGCAATTTCGTCCTCCCTTGTTCATGATGCCCTTTCAGACTTCACTCCTCGCGTAGGCGAATTCGCTAACAATTGTGAACCGTGTTCTATTGGCACTCAGCATGAGTTCGTTGCATTTTGCAGTTGTCGACGACTGGTACACGGTCACTGTGTTCTCCCTGCCACCGTCCAGTCCGAATTTTGAGTAATTAAAGGCAGAGAGAACCGCGCTCCGCTGCACATTCGCTTTTGTGGTGCCCAGCCCACAGTCTTCCTCAAGTAGGTCGCAGACCCCCTTGCTTACTTCAATGCCAGCCTACGTTCGTTGAATGTTGAGTAGATACCCATTGGTTCTGTAATTGATATTGGTTGGAGGACACTCCTTATGGATGGGTCTTCACTAACGTGGTCGTAGACGCGAGGCTGTGAAGGATGAGCTCGAGAACACTATTCTGCAAAACACCGTTTGCTCTTGTCAATGCCTCTGAAACTGACCCACTGTTTTTTGTCAGACGTCATCATGCCATCGTGGGATTGCCTCACCGTTCACGCAGACCGTTCCAAACATCTGATGTCGCCACCAGTTTTCACAGTCCATCACGGTTCATGGTGCCAAAAGCATTGCCACTTTCTTCTATCTTACAGTCCGCAAAGGCCATATTACTCGTTTCATACCGTCTAGAACTCTGCGTTGTTTCCCTGGCGGAGGGGGACTCTACCACAGGCGTGTAGTTTTTTGGGCGAGTGGTTAGCACGTGGGCGAATATCTGGTCTTCAATGCTGATGAGGGAAACGGTTACAAACCTGGTAGTTTGTGGAGGTAAACACTGCTGGCGTTCTACAGTCTTGTGGCACTTCTCCTCTCCCCATCTCCCGAGTTAGCAAGGTCAGCCTATTTATAAGTTGCGAGTCACTACATTCGTGGACTTCTGCTAGGATTTAATCCGCGCTCGAACCTCTTCCACCAGGTATATGTTGCAGCGCCTTGATCGCATCCCTTGGACAGGTGGGCGATCAGAGCCAGCATTTGGCGCAGCTTCTGGGAGTAAGTAGATGCCTGAGGATGCCCCTAAATTGCCCGGTCAGGCGCTCCAGAATCCGCAATTCCTCCTTCATCTGTCCGAGTTGACTGACTGTGAAGTCTTGTTTGGTTGAAGACCACATTATACTTTGCGACCATGGAAAAAGCTTTTGTCCCGTCGCAGATTGCGTATCCATAGACTTATTCTGCCATACCAGGCAGTTAGTCTGTTCCCGCCTCTTTCAGTTTTTACTGCGCTCGACATCGACACCCAGAAGAGCACGGCTTTATTGACGTTTGCCCTGCCGTTGGCATTGGTTTGTGTTACCTGTTGTCCTTTAAGAGGACTGATAACGATATCGGTCGAAATATTGTCCTTTTTAAACTTTCCGCTGCTCTATAGGCATTACCATACTTTAGAATTAACTGGCTATTATTTGCGAGCATTTACAGTAGGTGGGATAACTCGTGAAATGTCGACGAAATTCCGAAATGCGTTTTCTCTTCGAAAAAATTAGTTAAGTAGGGTTGTAAAACTACTCATCCAGCAGAATAATTCTATAATAATTCAGTTACCTCAGGACGCCGGCTTCCGAATGAACTTTCCGGCTGCATGCAAAAACTACACTCTGTAGAAGGTGACTGCTTAACTAGCAGTCATTTTTGTCATTGATTTTTGATGCCCTTAAAACTTCAATTATATTTCATAGAAAACGTGCATAAAAATATTCATTCTTTTGCTCATTCGGAAGAAAATTACGCCTCCCAGTTTGATACCCAAAGGAAGCGTGTAATTTAGTTTTTGAAAGTTTCTAGTTGTGAATCAACGGCAGCAGTTCCAAAGGAGAGAGTTAAGCATGACTTAGACCTTCTTCAAGTGTATGCGAAAACTTTGTTAAGAGACGATGAGTCACTAAGTGTTCTCAAAGCATTCCGAATAGGGAAGAGTCAGTCAGCATCCGGTTCCAATTCCCGGCCTCGACCCCTAAAAGTCATTTTGGAGACTGAAGCACAGGCCCAGCTTCTGTTACAGAGAAAATCATCTCTACGGGGTCAGCATCCTGAAGTTTTTTTTTCAGCCGGATTACGAGCCAAAAGAGCGAATGAAAATGAGAGAGCTGATGACGGAGCTGGAAGAGCGGAGAAACAGCGGCGAAACACACCTACAAATCAAGAATGGACAAATAATTCAGGTCCAAAGGACATTTCTCTGGCCGAAGGCCGTCATTCTGACAGCCTAACCGATGCAAACGTGCCAACTCCTGAGGCTGCTCGAACCAGTGGCCGCTGTCTAGAAATCGATTACACTAACTGTCAGAGTCATCTCAACAAGCTAGATGAACTCAGATTACTAGTCTCTGAACAGAAGCCACACATAATTGTCCTAACAGAGACATGGTTGACTGAGGAAATTAGTAGTAGCGAAGTCAGAATTGAAGGCTACCAACTGTTCCGTTGTGACAGATTTCACCGTAGAGGTGGAGGCACAGCTATTTATGTGTCAAATGAAATTGCGTGCTGTCAACGAGAAATATCCGATGGTGCGCCCCGAAATTTTGAAATAATTTCATGCAAGATATGCATCAAACAATTACCGACACTGAACCTGTGTGTTGTCTATCGGCCTCCCAGCTCGAATGAAATCGCCGATATGGAATTATTTAGTGCACTGGAGTTTATATGTAAGCAGGAGAACTTACTACTTCTGGGTGACTTCAACGCTCCAGGAATAGACTGGAACATTCCCCTAACAAACGCCCCGTCCACGTCATTTGACCACAAGCTACTACAGCTCTCCCTGAATGAATACCTAATTCAGCACATAAAATTCGGAACAAGAATGAGAGAAGGACAAAGATCTAACTGTTTAGATCTCGTTTTCAGTAAAGAAGAAGGACTCATAAAGGAAGTGAATCCACAACCTCCACTCGGTTTAAGCGGTCATATTGCTTTTACCTGCGTGTGCTCTCTCCTATCCAACCAACAACCAAATATCAGGAGGCGCAGAAATATTTGGAGGGGTGACTTTAACACAATGAGACGCACTCTTTTGGAGGAAACCTGGTTGGTCAACACAGAAGATTCAGACGAATTTTGGCAGTACTTTCGCGGGATTATAGAGCGTCTGATTGATTCCCATTGTCCAATAAAAATGACAAGACCACGTATGCGACCGCCGTGGGTCAATCCGACGACAAAAAAGACCATGAAGAAGAAACAGAGACTCTGGAAAAAGTATTTGCAACTTCGAGATCCAAGGTCACTCGCCGAATATAAGGATCAGCGCAATAAATGCCGCAAAGAAATACGGGTTGCTAGAAGTTCTTTCGAGCGTCGACTGATAGCAGAATCCATTACATGTCCCAAGAAGTTTTACGGGTACATCCGCAGTAGGAGGAAACATCGGGACGAAATTGCGTGTCTAAAGGATAGCCTCGGAAACTTATTAGTTGAAGGGTCACAGAAAGTGCGATTACTGTCTCAGTTTTTTCGATCGGTTTTTACGGAAGAGTCCCTAGAAGACAATCAGCAGTTTGCAATGGACCGAGACAGCCGCGAGTTTCAAATGCGCCAAGATATTGCCGTCATTAAAACCGTCGCCTTTTCCGTGGCAGAAGTCAGACGAGTCCTCAGTCAAATAAAACCTGATAAGTCTCCTGGACCCGACGGAATTCCCGGGCTGATACTTAAGGAGCTATCAAGGGAGCTGTCAAAGCCTCTTTCGACTCTCTTTGAGCTGTCAATGAGAACAGGAAGGCTGCCCTCACAGTGGAAGACAGCTAACCTCGTTCCATTGCATAAGGGAGGTAGCAAGATGACATCAAGCAGCTTTCGACCTATTAGCTTAACTTGCCTCCCTTGCAAAACGATGGAAGCTGTAGTAAAGAACGCTATACGGCAATTTTGTGAAGAAAATAACATCTTGCAGGATTTTCAACATGGCTTCAGGAGAGGACGTTCCTGCCTCTCAAATCTGCTAGCTTGTCTGGAAATCTGGACCAGGGCTCTAGAAGAGGGTTTTGAGGTCGATGTCGTGTACATCGATTTCCGCAAAGCTTTTGACACTGTCCCACACCAACGTCTTCTTCACAAATTGAGCGACATCGGCATCCGGGGAGATCTTCTGAACTGGATTAGGGCGTTTCTGGTTGGTCGGAAACAACGTGTCTGTATCGGGGATGATATGTCAGAATGGGTGAATGTGACCAGTGGTGTGCCGCAAGGCTCAATTCTGGGACCATTGCTCTTCATCCTTTACGTTAACGACAGCCTTCAGGAACTCGACTGCGGCAAAATAATGTTTGCAGACGACGTTAGGCTCTGGCAAGTCATTAAGGGCCGAATGATCAGGGATCCCTTCAAGATAATCTGCACCGACTGCAAGCGTGGTCGAAGAAATGGCTTCTAGATTTCAATGTGGAGAAGTGTGCCGTCCTTCATCTGCGTCCAACCAACTCTCATTCAAATGAGAGTCTGAGGACTTATCACCTGAAAGATATAAGGCTCCCCGCAGAATTTTCACAGAAGGATCTCGGGGTTTGGATACAGAACAACCTGAAACCAACACTGCAGTGCCACAAGGCTGCAAAAAACGCCATGGGAGTGCTGCATGCAATAAAAAGGGCTTTCGTAAATTTTGACCAAGACCTTTTTGGGAGAGTTTACGGCACATTTGTTCGGCCCCACTTAGAATATGGCATACAAGCATGGCGGCCATGGCTGGTAAAGGACCAAGAATGCCTCGAACGGGTACAACGGCGTGCAACAAAGCTGGTAAACGGTCTAAAAAGCCATTCCTACACAGACCGACTGAATTGCCTTAATTTATTCCCTCTGTGTTACAGGCAGCAAAGAGGTGGTCTTATCCTCTTCTACAAGATAATACATGGCCTTGAGTATGGACTTAAATTTGAGGGCATGTTTCAGTGGCACCTTTCACCCAATCTTCGTGGTCACTCGATGAAGTTACGGACAACAATGTCCAGGCTGAATCTCCGTTCTGAATTTCTCACGCAGAGGGTAGTGGAGAAATGGAACGATCTCCCTCAGTCAGTCTTGGAGGCTACATCCCTGCAACTCTTCAAGAAACGCTTGGATGATTATTTGTGTCCCATGTTTTCCCTCGACAGTCTGAATCTGAATTAATACCCCTGGTCCAGACAAATATTTTCTCTGAGTCAATGCTACTCAAATGAACCAAGTACTGTTTTAATAGTGAACATATTTTGTTCGTGTACAGTTATTCTAACGAGCTGGCATGTAATCAATAGGGTTTTCAAAGGCTTTGCCTATTATCCTTACCACATAAACTGAAACTGAAACTGAGATTTTTAAATACCATGAAATGGTCGTTCATAAAATGTCATATCCGTATATTTACCAATGTGGCTTGTAAATTTAACAATATGACTCAAATCCATTGCCAAATTTTGTGAACCCGATATGATCTTCTCTTAGCACTGTAGAGAAATATATGGTTTTCCGTACGCGAAAAATATACTGCTCGTTGTTCGGAAACGCAAGTGTAACGGCAGGTCGTGTTCAAAATTATTCGGGAATTGGAAAAGCTTTTGAAAACCAAATTATACTCCTTCTTCGAGTATAAAATTTGGAGAAGACGTAATTTTCTACTGAATGAACAAAAGAATGAATATTTTTATGCATGTTTTCCATGCGATATAATTGAATGCCGTACGGAATCGGAAATCAATGAAAAAAAAACGCATGCCACATAAGCAGTAATTTTTTACAGATTTGCAGTTTTTACAGTTTTTGCATGCAGCCGGACGGAAGCTCATTCGAAAGCTGACATCCTGAGGTAACTGAATTATTATACAATTATGCCGCTTAATGATTAGTTTAACAACCCTATTTAATTAATCTTTTCGAAAAGAAAACGCATTTCGGAATTTCAGTTGGCATTTCTTGACTTAGCCCACCTACTCTACCTTACTCCACCCACTACCATTTTGCGGTTTTTCGGCGACCAATTCGATCTTAGCAGTCCTCGCTCTCGCAGAGTCCACCACGGACGTACTTCATCTCTGAATCTCCAGTCTTGCTACTTTCACCGAGTTCTATTGTTAACCAACTGTTGTGATTTGTCTGTAATACAGGGAGAAGAAATGGGTGCCCGTAAAGGACACCTCAATGATGGTTTTCAAGTGGGTGCCGGTCCCCGAGGATCACGCTAAGAAGAGTGCCTTTTGTCGTCCCCAGCCGAACCCCCTTTCATCAAACAGTGGTAGTATTTTGCCGAACGCGACGAAACCGCCTGAACTGCGCACGGAGGCCCCTCTACCAGCTATCACAGCTACCACCGTCGCCTCCACTGCAGTGCGCGAAGAAACCTCAGTCTCTGAAAGTAAAGAGCCAATGGATACATCTGAGGACAAAGGTTTGGCGATTATCCCTCTAAGTCTGCACACATTCTCTTTCCAGTACATCTCCTCTATCAAAGACAATGCACTTCTTTTTGACTTCCTGCAGAAACCACACTCGGTATAAAATGACTACTTAAGTATCTTGCATTTTTCCTATTGATTTTCGATGGTCTTATAAATCCGAATGTATTTTATAGAGAACATGGATAAAAATATGCGTTCTTTTGCTCAGTTGGTAGGAAATCACATTGTCATCATATTTTATGCCCGAAGAAAGTGTGTATTTTGGTTTTAAAAGTTTTTAATTATGAGATTTTTAAGACCGTGCGATGTCCATGCATGCAAGACCGCACATGTCCGTTTGCCAATGCTCCTTATGAAATGTACAACATAGTCCGGATCCATTGCAAATTTTTTATGAACCCTATGTGGTATCTTCTTATAGACATATAGGAATCTATGATTTTCCTTACGCGGAAAGCATGCACCTTGTAGACTGAAATTGCTAAACGCTGATTGAATGGCAGATCCGGCTGGAAATTATTAGGGAATTCGGGAACTTTGTTAAAACCTAAATACACACTTTCTTCGGACATAAAATATGAAGACAATGCGATTTCCCACTAAATGAGCAAAATAACACATATTTTTGTGCATGTTCTCTATAAAATACATTTAAATTTATAAAACCATCGAAAATCAATAGGAAAAGTGCATGCTACTTAAGTAGTCATTTTATACCGAGTGTGGTTTCTGCAGGAGGTCAACAAGGAAGGCATTTAAAACCCAATATCCCGGTTGTGCTGCATGATAATCAGTATAACAACCCCACTTGAGTACTCCTTCCTAATCGGAAATGCATTCCAGAATTTTGGCCAACATTTCATTAGATCGGCCACGCACCGCATATTCTCTTTCCAGTACATCTCTTCTATCAAAGGCAATCAGGGCTTATAGGCATTACCGCCACTGCCACCATATGTGTTTTACAAAGTAGTCGGTTTCGACTTTATCTACGCCAGCCAAGCTCCACTGATGGTGTTATTGACGACTATGCGATAACAGTGGCCCGCTTGACGTTTTAGATTTAGACGATTTCTCTGGAGGTAGCCGATTGGCGGATTAAACAACCGCCTATCGCTTCGACTGCTGATCTCGGACTGTTGATGAACTTTGAGGTTGTCTACTCCTCAAACGTGTCTCAAATTCCACACTTGCCTAGCAGTGAGGTTGTTCAGACTGAAACATAACACAATTTGACCTTTTTTGATAACGAGGCCTAGTCCTTACTGCTTATGCGAACTGCTGTTGTCGCACTATCATTGTGCACTTCCCAAAAAACCATATAGGCTGTTATCATGCCTAGTTTAACCAGCTGGGAGGATATGGCAGATAGTGTCCCACTACCCACGAAACCTACAACAGTAGCTCCGGTGAGCACGAGCCGCCCTCCTCTCCGAGTCAGACTAAGTTTTTTGTCTTAACTGCGGTTTCCTACAGGCAAGCAGCGTCGAACTTCTGGAGCCGGACGACGACAAGGTCCAAACAACGTCAGCTGTCTTTCTTGGATTACCTGGAACATCCTGACGGTATTGTCACAGCCTGTGTGGATCGTATCATTCGGGGCGAGGTTGGTATACTGCGTTTGAAGTGATGTTCCCAGTCAAAATGATCGTAAATCTCCGACCTCCTCTCAAGACCGTAGTCGAGTCCTTAGAAGAGCGTGATAGAAGGCTTTTAAAGCGACATCGTGCAGTTATCTAACATACTTCGGCACAGAAGCCTTTAGCCAGTGTGTAGATCTGATGTCGACTGTAGCCTTTTTTAAAATACCTCTTGATTGGGACCTCTTAGGGCGTCGGGTTAATATTTTCAACCACCCAGTGGCCCAACACAACGAAACCAGCAAGCCTCTCCTTTCAAAGAAAAGCCTCACACTGCACTTTTTCTCACCAATTCTAGACTATCCTTCGCAGAATACTTTCGTCCTTGTCGAAAGTTAGCCTGAAAGTGCTATACCATAATTCCAAAATATTCGTCAACTTTATCCTGCTTTGCCGATCCGAGTCATGAGTTCCGCTAGTGGTGTACTTCAAAAAGCCAAAACTTTTCGACCGCTACTAACTTTGAACTCGACAATGCATCCGGCCGCTTGAACATGTCCGAAATACTTATACATGAAAGGTCTGGTACAGTGCTCGCTGAGATGTTGCGTTCAGACGAAATCGTTGCGTGGCTAAATGACATCACGCACTATGCTGCCGCCAACACCGCAAATAATGGGGTCTTCGTAACTCAGTCGTTTTTGTCTTTTGTCCAACCCCATAGATGACTAAGACTAGGCTTGTAAGTGCTGATAGTTCCGTTCTTCGAACGCCTGAATAGTAGCATTGTTTTTCACTTAGCTCCCCCGGTGGAAGCGAACAAGCCGTGTGATGTTCCACCCGTCGTCAGCGAGACTACCGCAACCCCAGAGGTTCGTGAATATCCGAACGGAATGCCCTCTGAAAATGAAGCTTCAGGTAAATGTCGGTTGCTTTGTCTCAATCCATCACTGCTTTATGGCGCATCGCTCTTCTCCTGCCGACCAACCTCATCGCACTAAAACATGATTACTTTAAAGAAACAAGTAGCCATATTTCAGAAATTATTCGCCGGGTTAAATGGCCTAATGACTTTCCTATGGACCCGAGTGGGCAAGACCTCGTTTTCTTCCCACTACAATGCAATTGACAAGCTTTCCCACACTATTCCTTTTAATCAATAGCATCTGCTTCCCGAAAGGAGCATTTACCGTTATCTTCACATGGTGACTGCGGTGTTTAGGATGAGTATGAGTTGTCTTTTTGTCTGACTTTTAGAGGCTAAAAAGATGTGTGAAGCTGAAAAGGAGGAAGACTCTACACAGCCCTCCGAAGCCTCTAACACACCTGCTGAAAATTCCGATGTGACCGCTGCCAGGACCTCTTAGAAACCTGTGAACACTGTCTATCCGTTCTCTGTCTCTCTTGTATATGGTACATTTTTAAATTTTTTATCTCCCAAGTTTTCCGTTGAAGTCGGGGGGGGGGGGGGATCTATCGGGAAAACGTTGTCCAGAAACTCAGATATGTTAATCTTGTCGAAGAACCACAACCAGTCTTTTTTCCAATCCTCCCGCGACCCGACTTTGAGAACGTGCTTGTGCAAACTGGATTTCTGTGACTCGTGGTCCCGACAGAGCAGAATGAACGATGGACCTTAACCGCTGAAAATTAACTCGCGTCACTTGAGGCTGATAGACAATAACAGGTAGCAAATGTATGAAAAAATTGAACAAATTTCAGATGGCAACGGGACAGCGTGGAAGCTGGACTGAACACTTGTTCAAGCGTGCCCGTGTGTTTGTATCTGAAAGCTAAACATAAAATTCGAATGGAAATACTGATTGGCTGATGCGTTTGGCCCGCTGAGCGAGCGCCAGCTTCCCCCTGCTCGGCTGCATGGGGCCGTTGCACTTAGCTCACTGCTTGAGCGGATCGGCGTTACGCACTGCATGGCAACTTTATCTGTCATCCAAATGCAGTTGACGCCACACAGTCCTCAGCTCTGTACAATTTTGGTGATCATTGCAAGGCCAAGCTTTCTCATTTCGAAATCGCCGATTCCTACCAATAACGTTGTTTGACTTTGATAAAAATGGTGGGCGGAAGTCTAACTGACCAGTGGAAGTTATTTGCGACGGAATTTTTCTGTTCTTTTACAATTGCAGTAGCTTATGAAATGTAGCGGAGGACGCTGCGTCTTGCCGTTTGAAGTGCCATAGTAATGTTTTGACTTGTGTAATTATTTACCGTACTAACAACACAGGTATTAGCTAAAAGCCCGGACACGCGTGTTTCGCCGATCTTGTGCCGCTGCCTGGCCCAGCTGCGCATTAATTTCCTCGGAAATCAAACAAGGCGAGTTGGAACTGGAGTTCGTATATCAGAAAACACAGGGCTCAGATATATCGAATTTTGGACAGTACCTGAAAACTTCTGTCCCGAAAGACTTACTCCATGTTCGCGCATTAATTTCCTCGGAAATTAAACAAGGCAATGGTGTTCGGGTATCCGCAATTCCTGGTCTAAGCAGTGATTCTGACTTGGTTAATTGATTGAACAGCCCACAGATAAGCGGTTAGGGTGATGAGAAGTCCGTTCTTATTTTTTGCGCGGCGCAAGCTCTGCGAATAGTCACCGGGCAGACAAACTTGTTCCAATTCAGGTACAACTGGTCGGAATGTACCACACGGGATGTTCGTTTACAGAATAAGCCGATAAGCGTAAGAGGCAGCGTTGATTAGTGTGATGGTTATACAGTGAAATTGGGCGATTGCACAACAAGGCCCCCCCCCGAGAGGACGGTATTCGCACTACAAGTCCTGTGTCGACACTGGCGTCCTGGCTCCGTTAGGTGACTAATCAAACGTATGAGACGAGGTCGTTCCTGATGAGTTGTGATCGGGCATTCTTGAATCTGTCTCCGAGAAGACAAACGAGATAACGTGCGAAAACTACCGCAGGAGGAGCCTCCTTTTCGTTGCTGCAAAGGTCCTCGCTGTTGTCATTGTCGGGCGGTTCCAGACCAAGCGTGGCTCTTGGACGAGACCCAGCCAAACCAGATTGCGAGCTGGGCGTGAATGCGCGGACGGGTTATTCCCATTGCGGCAAATGATTCAATTCCGCCATGGCTACCACCAGCTGACGACCGTCTGCTTGTCGTCTTCATCGCTGCATTCGATTCCATCCGTCGTGGGTCCGTAGCGGATAATGCATCTAAATGATGCCCCTCAGTGCGACGGTTATACATCGTACGCCTACCTATTGACATTGAGAAGTTAGGGTGTCAGTTTCGGGGTTGCGCAATACTAGCTGTTGATAAAGCACACCAGGGCGTCGGGAATACATATGCGAATGTTACCTGATGCAAGGTGAACAGAAGTATAGTTAGCAGAACGCGGGCTCATGCTCTGTCGACTGACTGGAAAGTTTCCTGTAAACCGTGTGCCATCAGGTCCAAACAAGTTCCGGCCCACCCGTCAGCCGCCGGCCATTTTCAGAGCTGTACGCCTTCCCAGGATAAAAAGCCTTTTTCTACTGCTTATTAGAACGTGAAAATAAGTAATTAATTAGCTGTTTTAGGCACTTTTAAAACAAGACATAACCGGAATTATCTTGCCAAATGTAAGATATCTACGGAACCAACACTTCCGTCACAAACACATGCGTTGCATGATTTATTCAGGTCAGAATCTTTAGCTGTCAACAGCGTGTGACTGGCCTGTGTTTCTCACCAGCATGCTAATTAGACTTGACGTCTGTGCCCCCCTCCCCCTCCCCCTCCCCTTAGTCTTCCGGAACTGATGAGGGAAGACTAGATCTGGCGCCTTGGAGACGGCATATTGTCATTCTTTTGTCATTTGCTGAAACCATCCGTCCTGCAAACAGGTAGTCCACGGTTGTCAGAATGAATGTCAACGTTGGTCAACGTTAGCCCGCAACTAACTTGCTTGAGACAGAAAAGAAGCAAAATTGGGAGAAGAAAATCAGGTTATTTATATAAATAAAATTGTACATATCTGCAGTTTTTTGGGGGACAAACTTCAAACCACCATGAGCGTCCACGAGCGGACTTCATCTGGGGGCATATTTATGGAATAACTAGTTGGGGTGCGAAGAGGACACACAAAACCTCGGTACTTATTTCAGAGTTTCTATACATCTTGGCTTCAATTCGTTTAGGATAAGTAGAGAATCAGCGCTGAAGATGGGTAAGTTCTATTTGCTAACATTCGGCTGTTTTGTCTTTGATTGGCAACACTGCCGAGAGAAAGTGGGATGGGAAGTAAGAGAGAGAGGGAGAACGCCTATCTTCTCGTATACTCGAAAAAGTTGGACTATTCGCCATCACCTAAAAATTATCTGCCCGAATTTCCCATCCTGGAGATAAAAAATTTCAAAAATTCGACTTCAAAAGAGCAAGCCGACAGCTCAGACCATCCATAACCTCAGCAGTAAACCTTAGTCTAGCCCAAAACCTTGCCCGAACGAGGACAATTTTATAGGAGCTGGCGGCGAAATGTGCCTGTAATCCTAGAAAAACCTTCAACAAATTCTTGCTGAAAATATTAACACTGCAACTCGTGCAGTGAATTAATTCCATCAAGCTGGATGACGATCATTTTCTGGTAAATGAGTACGAGGGGCAGGATTCACCGCTTCGGGCACAAAGTTTTGCAAATTGGTCGGGACGGAAGGACGCAGGTCCTAACAACACCAGATATGACGATAAAAGCAAAAAGGCGAGTTCGAGGAAGCAGTTGAGAAGAAGGAGGCGCTCTCGGCAGAACAATAATTTTATTTGCCTGGAGTATCGGGTTCGCATTGAAACCTATCATCAGGTAAGGGGATAGTGGACCCCCATGGGTTGCATAATTTTTACGGTGTAGTTGGAATGTAATCATGCACTTTTTGTAATTAGCCGTTTCCACATTTACCGCTACCGGTTGGGCTTTGTGCGGTGATTGATTGTCCGCATCTGGATCGTTAGTTACGGAAGTGGGGGTATGTAAGCTGAGATACCGTGGCTCAGGCGGCTCGGGACTCATACGATTTTCATCTTATCGAGCTTGAAGGCGTGTCTTTCGCTAGTAGTATCTGTTGCTGTCTCAGATGATGGGTTAAAATGTGAATCAAAAACGCCAAACTAATAAAATTTTCGCCACATTGATCGGGTCTCCTTCTTCTCAGAACTACTCATTTTCGTAAGACGGCACAGAATAGGTTGCAACTACTGCGGCTCTCGTGACACCGAATTGAGATTTTGAGAGAAATGCACTCATTTTTGAAGACGGATGATTTTATGATGAGCAAACGTTACGAAAGCCCCGAAGATACCCCTTGAAAACAAAACCACCGAATAAAATCTGCCCTCTAATACTACTTCTTAGACGCTCACACGTGTGCATTCTCAAAGTCTAATTGCTCGACCTACCGTAATATAACTGTGCAGACCGGGTGCCGACTTATGGCGAGATGTGATGCCTTCTTTTATGGCCTGTCGCTTGGACTGTAGGGTTCACCAAACGGACGAAACGGTTGCATGAAACTTCAGACTCCGGTCAGTACTCACCCCTTGGTCAAGTGACCGAGTGAAGTCAGGCTCTTGTATTTTAGAGAGCCGGCATTTGACACGCGAGAAACAAATGCATTTTCAACTAGTGTGCTCGAGGTCACCTCCCACTGAGTTCGTTCATTTATGACCACGGAGCACGATGGAAGCGGGAATATTGAGTGAGATAGTTTCTAGACGACACTTCCTTACCGAGAACTTCGGCGGGTTCTGAGTAATCATGATTCTCGAAAAACCAGGATCTGGAGAGTTGAGAACTGACAGGGAAGCTAGGTTCCGAGCAGTTTGGAGCGGCGACTTGTAAATATTTTTATTGGATAAATCTCACCAACATGACCATCGAGTGCATTGACCTTCCCATTTCATATTCGGTGCTGTGACAATGCCTAGGCGGAGTAAGTAGCCGGCAGAGGGAGTATTCCCAACGCCATATTTTGTGGGGCAGATGGTCGAGCAATAATGACATGAACACCTAACACGCATGATGAAATTGCAAAGATTACCGACTCGAATGTAGGCCATCGTAAGTGTCATCACACCAAACACAACAAATCCTGATGAAAGGGGGAGCCGTGGATTTTCAGAGGTATGCGGTAGCATAGTGACGGCATCCTATAAATACTTCAGCCCCTCGTGCATGAAGTGCCTGTGTCTGCTATTGTCTCTAATGATAGGTTCGAGCAGGAATCTGAAAAGTCAGGCGGATAAAACCCTTGTTCCAGCGACCCTGTCTCCTTCTTCGTGACTGCTCTCTGAAGCTCGTCTTTTCTCTTCTATTAATGGTCTTAGAGTGCCTAAAATCTGGTTCGTGTCGAA